AGAGCAGCTAATGTTCCAATCAATCAAGTGCTGGATGATACTGACATGAGTCATTCAAGCACCTACAGTTACACATACAAAAAAAAAGAAAAAGCTCAATATTTTTTGACAGTCGCTTTAGAAATTCTCCTCCTTGATCGGCACTTTATCGTGGTGGAGGAGTTTGTGTGCCTGAATGATCCTAGCAGCTATGCTATTGGGGGCAATTGTAATTGCCCCTGGTAGGGTCTCCCAAGGCAGATTGGTTCAATGTGACAGGCCAGACAAATAGCGATTCAGAAGACTCAGCAGACAATAAAAAACAAGGAGCTCAGTGTCCCTTTTCTTGACGTGGGTCATCAGGGCCCCACCCTGGGGTCATGCCTCAGGGAGGGGCTCGTTGGCGAGCGCCTGGTGACGGGGTCTCTACTTATGGGGCCTGGTCAGGCTTAGCCAGAACGAGTAACATAAGTTTGTATTCCTGTGGGCCCACCTGTAGCAGGGGCCATATGAGTCTGGTGCATGATTCCATTGGCAGTGGCCGAAGATGGGGGCTTTGGCGCTCTGACCCTGGCTTACCAAAGCTGGCTCTTGGGACATGGGATAGGACCTCGCTTGTGGGGAAGGAGCCTGAGCTTGTGCGTCAGGTTGAGAGGTACCAACTAGATACAGTATAGTTGGGCTCACCTCGATGCATGGCATAGGCTCTAGAACCAATCTCCTTGAGAGGGGCTGGAATTTATTCCACTCTGGAGTTGCCCATGGTGAGAGGCATAAAGCTGGTGTGGGTCTATTCTTAGCCCCCTGACTTGGTGCCTGTGTGTTAGAGTTTTCCATGGTAGATGAGAGGGTAGATTCTATGCACCTTCGGGTGGGGGGACAGGCTCTGACTGTTGTTTGTGCCTAGGGGTGGGCGATATCGCTCATATATAAGATTGTGATATTTCAGAGCATTCCGACGATAATGATAAATTTCATGATGTAACAAAAAAAAAAAAAAACAGAAATTAGTTATTCATCTTACAAAATTAACTTAACATGTTGCTTTGCAGAAACAAGGGTTAATTTTACTGGAATTACTTTATTTAGTAAAGTATTCCATCTTAAAGTATAAAAATAAAAACATAAAAAAAGATCCTCCTGTTATTTAGATTGAAAAAGTCTGCACAAATTATACATCAACAAAATCTAGCACAAAAGCTAAAGTGCTGGTGCAGTTTCCCAAAATAACTAAATAAAATTAAGCTTAAGATATGTTGATCATACTTTGTAAATGTAACATACAACAAAATATATGTTGCCTTTAAATGAGCTGTAACTTCCAAAACTTGACAAGCTTGTGGTGTTTCAGCTTCATCTATTCCTGCAGGAATGATTCCATTTCTCTGATGCGCTGTCTTTGATCACCTGCCTCTTTTCTTGGTCCACGGATGGACCGACTGTGGAACTTAAGAGACACAGTTGAACTGCGCATGTTTGTACCGGCACTTTAGTGTGGGGGAGACCCATCCGAGCTGCGCCTGCACCGGCAGCTTAGAGCGGGGTGGGGAGTGAGAAAGAAGCCAAGCTGCGTTTGTACCGGTGGCAGCTTAGAGTGGGGTGTGGAGGAGGGAGAGACAGTTGAGCTGTCTGTAGCCGTAGTTTAGAGCTGGGTGGAGAGACAGCTGAGCCACATGTTGTTTGTTGTTAGCTTTTTAGCTAGCTAGTATTGCGTACAACTATTTAGTGTTACACCAGTACCGACAGGTGGAGGGGGGGTGCGCAGTTCGGTTTTGTCTTTTGGCGAGCTCGGTTTTGTTAACGGGCGGGGCGCCCTGACGTATTACGTCATGAAATTAGCATATCATGATATCATTTATTTTCCCGGGCAAGCTTTTTTTTTTAACCGGTATTATCGTGAATGATATGATATGGCCCAGCCCTATTTGTGCCTATGCACCAAACGACAGTTCAGAGTATTCGGCCTTCTTGGAGTCCTTGGTGGGAGTGCTGGAAGGCGTGGCAGCTGGGGACTCCTTTATTCTGCTGGAGGACTTCAACAACCACATGGATAATGACAGTGTGACCTGGAGGAGCGTGATTGGGAGGAATGGCCTGTCTGATTCCTTGCTTGGGCAAGTGTGGTTGGTTCTTTGTCCTCCTTCTGTCATCCGTTTGTAAAAAAAATCTGGGAGTAATGGTTAATCCTCTATTTAAATTTGATAAGCATATTAGCACTGTTATCAAAGGCGGTTTCTTCCAGCTGAGGACCCTTGCTAAGACAAAACCGTATCTTCCTTGGCTTGATCGTGAAAGGACTATCCACGCATTTATTACATCACCTTTAGATCATTGTAATTCTTTGTATTTAGGGTTGGACCAGAGCTCCCTGCAGTGATTGCGGAGCGTCCAAAACGCTGCAGCCCATCTGTTGAGGAACACGAGGTGTGAATATATTACCCCCATTTTGCACTCCCTTCACTGGCTCCCTGTTGCTTTTCAAGTGAAATTTAAAGTTTTATTGATTGTTTTTAAGTGTTTAAACTCTATGGGTCCATCTTACTTAAGCAACCTGTTGCAGCCCTACACTCCCTCCAGAGCCCTGCAGTCAGCCAACCAGTTTTTGTTGGCTGTCCCTAAAGCTATGTTAAAGACTAGAGGTGACAGAGCCATCTCTGTGGCAGCACCCAGACTATAGAACAGTCTCCCTCTGTCTGTTAAGCTCTTTCTGTCAGTAGATCAGCTTAAGTCCAGACACAAAACACATCTTTTTTCCCTGGCCTTCAACTTCACTTCAACCTCAAATTAGTACCGGATGGATTCGAGTTTTTGGAAAATTGTAGCAACTGAAATAGTATGTCTTGGTTTTTAGTTGTACTATTATTTTATTGGTATTTTACTACACATTTTTTATCAAACATTTATTTTTATTAAACTCAATTCTATTTCTTGTTTCATATTTTATTGTGAAGCACTTTGGTCAGCTGAGGTTATGGTAAATGATATAAAAATAAACTTATTTATTGTGTGTAATGTGGCTGAGGTTGTGATAATGTGCTATATAAATAAATTTTGACTTGACTTGACTTGATCTGAACTCGAGCGGTGTTCTTTTGTTGGTCTTATGTGCTAGTCATAGTTTGTCCATCATGAACACCTTGTTTGAACATAAAGGTGTTCATAAGTGCACTTGGCATCAGGACACCCTAAGTCATAGATCGATGATTGACTTTGTAGTCATGTCATGTGACTTGCAGCCGTTTGTTTTCAGCACTTGGGTGAAGAGAGGAGCTGAGCTGTCAACTGGACACCACCTAGTAGTGAGTTGGACAGATGGCAGGGAAGATGCCAGACATACCCGGTAGACCCAATTGTGTAGTGAGGGTTTGCTGGGAATGCCTGTCAGAAGAACCTGTCAGAAAGATCTTCAACTCCCACCTATGGGAGAGCTTTAACTGCATTTCAGCTGAGGTGGGGGAAATTGAGTCTGAGTGGGCCATGTTCTGCACCTCCATTGTTGAAGTGGCTGCCTTGAGCTGTATCTGCAAGGTTGTCTGCGATTTTCGCAGTGGGCATCCCTGAACTCAGTGGTGGACACCCTGGGTTAGGGAGGCTGTCAAGATAAAGAAGGAGTCTTTGGTCTTGTTGGCTGGTGGGACTTGGGAGGCAGCTGAGAAGTACCGGAGAGCCAAGCGGTCTGCAGCCTTGGATGTTGCTGAGGCAAAAGCTCGGATGTGGGAGAAGTTTGGTGAGGTCTTGGATAGAGACTCACGGTCGGCTCAGACGAAATTCTGGCAAACCATTAGGTGGCTGAGTTGGAGAAAGCAGCTATTTACTAACACTGTGTTCAGGGAAGGTGGGGCACTGTTGACATCAACTAGTGATGTCATCTGTAGGTGGAAGGAACACTTCTCTGACGTTCTCAATCCCACCAGCACATCTTCTATGGAGGAAGCTGAGTCGAGGGACTTCGGGGTTGGTCTGTCAATAACCATGGCGGAGGTCACCGAGGTAGTTAAAAAGCTCTTTGGCAGCAGGGCTCCAGGGGTGGATAAGATCTGCCCTGATTGTAGAGTTTGTGTTTTTTTGTGTCTGGCTCCATCTTGTGTTGTGTCTCTTCATGCTCCCTTGTTTCTCATTACCTCTATTCCCCACACGTGAAGCTCACAGGTGTTGTGTGTTAGTTCTCATTTGTGTGTGTATTCATACAGATAACACAAAGGCTTAATAGTACTATAGTAATATATAGTAATCTATATATGAGTTTCACTTTCTGAAGTAATTGTCAAAAAAAATTGAAAAACTTTTTCATGATGTCCCTGTACAGAAACAGAATTCTAAAAATCCTTGACATATCAGATTCCAACATGGCTGACGCCATATATGTGAACCAGCCACCCAGATCATTTACGTAGATTATACTTTTTTGGTTTTATATTGCTTAAAATATACTTTCCTCAAATGACTGGGGTGGCTGATGATTAATTTATGGGGGCAAAGGCCACCAGTGGCCACCCTCTGGCCACCTCACTTGAAAACTTTACTTTCTCCAAAGTGGGGTATGGCCATGAAAAGTTTAACAGCATTATCCTGATACATGCTCAATAATCCAGGTAGAAAAATCCAAAAAAGTTCAATCTGGTCCTCTGGACATTCAAAAAGCAAGAAAACAACAAAAAAAAAAAAA